GGGAGCGCCACTGCGCTCCCAAGCAGCGCACTGTAGCAGTGCGCCACCGGGCCGGCCCCAGTGATCCAGGTTTGCATCGGTTTCCTGGCCGGCTGTGCTGATGTGTTTCCGTAACTTATCAGGCAGTGGGAGGGCCCTGAGAAAGGCCTGGGGAAGTGGCTGGAGGTAGTGGTTGTCTCTGTAGGAAGGAGAGAAAAGGGGCTTGTGCACGGTAAGAATGAGGCAGGCAGCCGCAGGGCTCCTTCTGGGCTCTGTCCTGCTTCCTACTGGTGATCCCTGTGCCTGTTCTGCCTCCTTGTCACTTGCAGCCTACGGGGACAATGCTTGTGGAACGCCAGCTCCTTCAACCCCTGGTCTATATGAAGCGCCTGGAACTCATCAGAAATGTCTGCAGGGATGAAGCCCTGAAGAATCTCTCACACACGGCTGTCTCCAAGTTTGTCCTGGACCGAATATTTGTCTGCGACAAGCACAAGATTCTTTTCTGCCAGACTCCCAAAGTGGGCAACACGCAGTGGAAGAAAGTGCTGATTGTTCTAAATGGTGCGCGTGGCACCCGGCAGATGTCTGCCTGTTTGCCTGGGGAAGGGTCCTGGTGGCCCAGGAGGGGTCAGAGGAGGCTTCTCCCGGAAGGGCTGGCAGCCTTCCGAACAGTTCTCTATTGTTTTTTCTTGTTAGTATTATACTGTAGAAGTCGGTGGGGTTAATGTAGCCACTGATTCTTTTCAAAGGGGCACAGCCAAGGTCAAATCTTGCTTTTCCTAGCACTTCTCAGGCAGCTTGTCCACCACAGTTGAATCCTTTTCTTCTTCTCTTCAGATTCATTGTGTTGATTCTTACAGTCACAGGCTCTGTCCCTGCACTCACAGAGCCACTGATAACGAGAAGAGCCCACACCCTGAACCTGGGAGGGGAACCCTGCCACGTGGGTCCGTGGCCTCTCCACCTGCAGACCAAGTATTCTGTTGGATAGAAAGAAATTGTACTCCATTTCATGCTAAGCATCTGTATTCAGAGGACTTAGCTTGCTTCAGAAAATCTGATGTTTACTCATGGACAAATTAGATCATTGAAAAGTGACCTCAATGCTCAAATTAGATCATTCAAAAAGTGACCAAAGAAAAGCGATCACTCACCTTTCTTTTCAGAAACTATGCTTGTTTGTTTAAATTCCAGTTAGTCTGAACCGGTCCAAGATAATTATGGGCACTGTCTATTAAATTCAGCTTCAAAGGGAACACTTGACAGCAGTGGGACTCCTAGGTCAGGAATCAGGCCTCGGGGTACTGTGGGTGGCTGGTCCTGGGCTTCCAACATCTCCCTGCTCCTGACGCTGCTCTCAGAGTCGGCAGTCAGTGTTGGCTGCCATTTGGCCTTTTCACAGGTTGGTTGGAAGAGAGAAGGGTGACACCTCATCTTCTGGTTATTAGGTGTATAATTAATTGTGTTTCTGGAGTAATCTAATAGTATGATGGATTTCTTGAAATCAGAGAACTAGGTTACAAATCAAATTGAAAACAAGGAATAGACAATGAGGCTCACAAATCGGCCACCGCTGTGACACATCATTCTTGGAAGAAGTAGACAGCCACTTACAAGGGCAGGATAAAAACACAAGCAGGCTTGCCAGGCGTATAATAAGAAGTCATCACTGTGGCTGTCTTCGGCTGTCCCTGGGTGCGCCTGGATGAGGACAGCACGAGAGTGGGGCCAGGTGCAAATCCTCAGGGCTGGTCCTCTGTTGTCCCTGGGGGGAGCTAATGCTCATCTTGTTCATTTTGCAGCCATCCAAAGCACGTGGCATAGACTTGGACTGGGGCTGAAGTATTTGGGGGAAGAATGAATAAAAGAGACAAGGCTGTGGCCACTGCTTAGGTGGCCCTGGAGAGATTCTTCCCTGTTAGAGCTCTGAGCTTAACATGACAGGGTTAGCACACAGATGGATGTTAAGGCTTGTAGAGGCATGGCTGAAGTCCAAGCATAATGACAATTTATTTCCATTTGTCTATGTTGAGAGAAATGAAAAAAGCCTGCCCAGCCACCAGCCCTCGGATGGACCCCACCTAGGTTCCATTCAGCAGCCTGGACCAGGCAATGGCCCCCACGACAGACCGGGACTCTCCATCCTGCCCTGCCCTCTGCTCCTTCGACTCCTGTTTCCGTGAATCACAGCTCCCACAACCTCAGCAAGGCTTTTCCAGCGCTGAAGGTCTTTGCCACTTGCCAGGCTGGGATGCTGCGAGGTTACCTGAAAAGCAGTATCAGCCTAGGGGGTGGTGCCTGGAGACCTCAGGTTACCAGTTGTGACAGTGACAGTCCGTGGAGGTGCTGTGGGCATGGTCAGCACTCTGTTTCCCATTCCTGCTCCCCATTTCAGAGTAGAATAAGTATTGCTGGTGTTAGATCACTGCCTGCAAGCAATTCCTTTCTGTAATGGAGATTTAGCCCAATTGAGGTGCGTTGCCAGTGTAGGCACTGCCAGTATTTCTGCCCTGTTACCTCCGTAGTCACCCACTTCCTCCAGTTGGCTTATGGATTGCCAGGAGCTTTGCTGTGCTGTCCTCCTGCCGGCAGGAGCAGTGGGATTCACAGACATAACTGGGTGTCAGGAGGGCCTGCGGTGCGTGCTGTGGGGACAGCGGCCCGAGGTGAGAGGGGGGCGGCACCTTTCTCTAAGGATGGTACCCGTGTGGCCAACACGCCTTCTCTTCTGTTTACTTCCCAGGGGCGTTTCCTTCCATTGAAGAGATCCCTGAGAACGTGGTTCACGACCATGAGAAGAATGGCCTCCCTCGACTCTCTTCCTTCAGCGGTGCAGAGATTCAGAAGCGGTACGAACAGGTCCCTCTAGGGGGATTTTGAAAACCTGCAGACGTTTTGATAAATTCCCCAGGCTTAGTTCTGTCCTTGCCACATATTCCAACTGGCTCCGAGGGGCACTGGGGGCTGTAGGTTGGGGGGGTGAGAGGCAGCCGGGCGTATGCCCAGCATTCACTTGGTGCCTGCAGACTTTCAAATCTAGGAGGGTCTCGGAACATCTCCCCCAGCTTCTCTTCAGGCAGCCCGTTAAAGTGAAAGTTCCGTGATTTTTAGTAGAAATGAGTGGTCAACTTTGTTCTGCTTTGGTAGTGTTACGTTTTATTTATTCCTTGCTGCATATGATCTTTTCTTCGTAAGAAAGGGATTTGGGTTGCAGGGAGCCCCCACTGTGTGTTTGATTTTTTCCAAAGGCCCTGTGCTTGTCTCCGGGGCAGGGGGCCAGGGAGGGCTGGGCCCAGCAAGGCGGGGCGGAGGGGCAGACCTCCCTGATCCCAGCGAGGATGGGAATGGAAAAGTTCTCCCGTGCTAGCTGTGGAATGGCCCTGCAGCGCAAGCTTTGAAGGAGTAAAGACTGCGCAGCAGCTGCTGGATGTTGGGGCGCCCGCTGACCTCTGCCTGGCCGGGCTGTACAGCCACTCGCCCTCCGTGGCTTCCACCCTGACTAACTCAGTCTTCCCAGCTGCTACAACCCCCCTCAGAAATCCTCCTGGGTAGGGACTGGCCTGTTGCCCATGAGCACTTGCCCCGTGGGGCCTCTGTGAGCCTGGGTGAGTGAAGACGTGGACAGCAGTGTGTGGCATGGAGCAGGCATGCTGCGAATGCAGTGACGTCCTCGCTGGTCCCCACGTGGCCACTGCTACCCTTCGTGCCCACACCGGCTCTGCTGCAGCCACCCCTCCTGCCGCTGGAGCTCGAAGCCTGGTGTTCCACTCCTCACACCCTTTCCTCTCTCTGTTCCTTCCCCTGGCAACTTTTTTTTGAGTTGAGTTTTTAAAGACATGCCCTTAAAGTAACATTCTCTGGCCTTGGCTCCTCCTGACTCACTCAGAGTTCCTGCTCTTAGGATTTTCTGCCCAGGAACAAAACTTTTAAATATTCTTCAAGTTTTGAATTAGTCAAGTAAGGCAAAACATACAGTAAGTAGATGTCTTCACGGCGAGCCCCTGGGATGAGTACTGTGGCCTCGGGCAGTTAAGGTTTCTGGGCCTTCCTCATCTGTAAAATGGGTTGAAAACAGGACTGATCCACGACATCTTGGAGTGGATGAAGCGACAGCTGTCGAGCATGCTCATGGCAGGGCTTGGCCGGCGACTACCACTGCTCTGCTGCTCTTCAGTCCTGGCACCGCTCAGCCACCAGTAGCACCGAGTTAACCTCTTGTTTGTTTTCATTTTTTTCCTTAGATTGAAAACCTACTTCAAGTTTTTTATCGTAAGAGATCCCTTTGAAAGACTCATTTCTGCATTTAAGGATAAGTTTGTTCACAACCCCCGGTTTGAACCTTGGTACAGGCACGAGATTGCCCCCAGCATCATCAGGAAGTACAGGAGGAACCGGACGGAGACCCGGGGGATCCAGTTTGAAGATTTTGTGCGCTACCTGGGTGACCCGAACCACAGGTGGCTTGACCTTCAGTTTGGGGACCACATCATTCACTGGGTGACGTACGTAGAGCTCTGCGCACCCTGTGAGATCAAGTACAGTGTGATCGGACACCACGAGACCCTGGAGGACGATGCCCCATACATCCTAAAGGAGGCTGGCATAGACCACCTGGTGTCGTACCCGACCATCCCTCCGGGCATCACTGTGTATAACAGAACCAAGGTGGAGCACTACTTCCTGGGCATCAGCAAACGGGACATCCGGCGCTTGTATGCACGTTTTGAAGGGGACTTTAAGCTCTTTGGGTATCAGAGACCAGATTTTTTGCTAAACTAATGGATAGGACCTATGAATTCAAGAATCTCTGTTAGGCTAGGGCCTAGCCAGGTGGAGATCTGAGCACAGAAATGACATTTTCCTCCATCACACCCCTCTGTGAGACTCCCAAAATCTCTTGTGAGTGCCTGGGTAAGTGACACCATGCCCTGTTACAACTGGGCTGGGATGTGAGATGCGCCAGGGCCCCTCCCCCAGCCCCACCAGTGTCGGGAGGATGCTCGGCCGGCCTCCCTCTCCTAAATCTCTTGTGAGTGCCTGGGTAAGTGACACCATGCCCTGTTACAACTGGGCTGGGATGTGAGATGTGCCAGGGCCCCTCCCCCAGCCCCACCAGTGTCGGGAGGATGCTCGGCCGGCCTCCCTCTCC